TATATATATATATAGAGTTAGGATCACATGAGAATGGTAGATAGTGAAAGAAATAAGAATGGATCTGAACCATGAGATCAAGCATATTAATGGTTAAGATGAAGTCAAAATATGGTCAATCATTAATGACAATGTGGTAATTATTTAATCTTGGTGGGTCAAATATGTACATTTGACCAATAATTAAGGGTAAGTTGGTCAATACACATATATTTATGTGGGTCCCACTCATCATTTAAATATTCAATTTCTCTCTCATTAATCATCACCATCTTCCTCTTCTCACACACGATTTGCAGAGACACACACACGCACACACACACACACACACATACACGCACATAGACACACACACGGTGGCCGCCGCTGAGAGACCCGCCGGAGCCAGGCGTCTTAAGCCCCTCCACACATCAAACTGCAGCCGCACAACCACCCTTCGACGCCGCCGTCCACCGCGGCCACCGTGCCGTCGAACACCGCGACGGTCCCGGTGTTCAGGCCGCCTCTGTTGGCCAGACAGCCGCGGTCCGGCGCGGCCATTATTCCGTCGAGCGCCACCACGAGTCCGACGTTCACGATAGCAGCTCATCGTCGGCGACGGGGATCTATTTCCAGTCCGTGACGTCACGACGGCGACGGATCTGGGCGAACAGGACGGTCGTGCGATGGAGTGGTCGACGGCGGGGGAGGTCCGACATTAATGGCCGCAGCTTCTTTCCGGTCACCGAGACCTGCTTCCAGGTCGTGGTGTCACGTCGGCGGTGGATCTGGACGGATAAGACGGCCGGGCGATGGGCTGGCGGCGGCAGGCTTATGGTTGCCGGCTGCAGCAACTGTGTGTGTGTGTGTATTGTGTGTGCGTGCATGTGCGATTTTCAGATTTTTTCTGTTTTCTTTTTCTTTTTTTTTTTGGGCATTGTGATGAGAATTAGACTATTTATAGGGCTTTTTGTGCAATTTTAAAACTTTCATTAGATTGTATTTTAATAATGGCACAATTTAGTAATTTATCAAAATTCCAATATATTGCACATTAACAATACACGATATGCACACTATTGTGAATATATGAGCACATTATAAAAATTGTTAAATTTTTACAAAATTACACAGTTATAATTAGCCGGATTACCGGTCGATTTGGTTTAATCGACCGATAGAATGTCGAAACCGGAATAATAGAAAAAATATTATTTGTAATATAAAAACATATTTAGTGTGGTAATTTTTTTTATTTAATAATTTATATTATTGACGGATTCTTACTCTTTAGCTCCGGCCGGAAGAATGACTGCTCTTACTAAGACCTGAAGGAACTTTTGAAAGGCGGTTCTAAAGACTGAAGTCTATTCCCCGGTTTCATTTTGGTTTGGAAGGAATTCAATTCAAAAGCTTGGGCGAATTCTACTTTAGAATAGACCAGCTGAAGATGGAAGAGTGAAAGGGAAGGCCTTTTTTTAAAGTGGAAAGCAAAAGAAAAGGTTGGACTTTCTGCAGCTTGCCAATCCGAAGTTTAGGCTCGTTGAGACCCCCTTTTTATTATTTCGGTATCTTTCTTTTCATAGTTCCTTGCTTGTTTTGATACAGGACAGGTATTCCTTGCCTAACAGGGGTTTTTATTAGAAATGTAATAGTCTATATAAACAAATTATAATGTGCAAACTAGAAGATATCAATGTGCAAATTTTCTAACCCATAAGTGCACGGTGTCGGTCGATATTGTGCATATTGATACGAACGAAATTTTGTCCCAAATTAAATTGAAACGAAAATTAAATATCTGGGTTATTCAGTCGGCCAATTAAATTATCTTAAATAATTGAAATAATTTATTATTTACATTAAAAATATATTTAGTATGTTAGTATTTCTACTTATTATTTTTATATTATTTTTTATTGAAAAATATAATGAACGAAATATTGATCTCGATAAAGTGCAAGAACCAAACTCGATAAAGTGCAAGCACACATACATAGATGTGCATCTAGTATAATATTATTGTGCAATATATCTAGCGTGATTTTTTTTATGTGCATTTCAATTTTGAAACAAATTAAATGATGTGTATTTCATTAATATTACTATGCATTTATCAAATATTTATATAATAAAAATATATATTGTCAAAATATTGATCTCGATAAAGTGCAAGAACCAAACTCAATAAAGTGCAAGCACACTTACATAGACGTGCATCTAGTATAACATTATTGTGCAATATATTTAGCGTGTATTTCTTTTTATGTGCATTTCAATTTTGGAAAAAATTAAATGATGTTATTTTATTAACATTACTATGCAATTATCAAATATTTATATAATAAATATATATATATAGTATTTGTAATTTTTATTTAATATTATATATTATTGATATTCGAAAATAATTAATATACATATAACTTTGTCGGTTATGTTATTATTATTATTTATAACTTTGTAATGTGCGTATTTAAACCATTGTGCATTTGATCGGAAAATATTGTGCATTTAATATTTTTTTTATAGTTCGATCGATTAGGTTATTTAAAAAATAAATAAATAAAAATTGTCATCAAACCGAAATAATAAAAAACAATTAAAAGTGAAAACAGATAATCGAACTAAAATATAAAATTTTTGATACAAAAACTTACTCGGTGTGTCTTAGTCGTTATTGTGCAACCTAATAAGTACTAATGTGCAATCTGTCTAAAAGTAATATGCACTCGAAATTAAGTTATTTTTTTAATGATTTGTCGCAGCCCAAACGAAGTACAAAATAACCAGTTTATTTGATCGATTAATCGAATTAACCTTAAAAGTTGAAATAATTTGTAATTTATATTATTAGAAATATATTTAGCATTTTAATGATTTTGTTTAATAATTTATATTATTTGTTGTATAAAAGACAATGTATATATAAAAATGTAATATTTTTATAGTCCAGATTTGTAGAAAATAATCAAAATTGCAAAAGTAAACAACATTCTAAATAACTTGTCAGTGTACTTTTAAATTTTTCACGCAATATCATTTGTGTTATGATAATGTGCACTATTTAAATCATTAATGTGCATTCGATGTGTCAATATTGTGCAGTTGCAAATAATGTAATTTTTTATATACATTTACGCAAATTACATATTAAAATTTTTAAGTATTGTGCATTTTTTTAATTATAATCAATTTCCATTTATTAAAATTTTGGTATAAATTATATAACTGTAAGTAATTGAAAATAATAAATATTGATAAACTTGCAAATAGACCCTTGAACAATATCTAATTTTCAAAAACAAAATCAATTTCACCCTAAATCCTTAAATCTAACTTGCAGGCCATTACATAATTTGCAGACGTCATCTCCGGCCAGGAAATCACCGGCTCCACCGCCGGAGCGCCTGAAACTGCCGGCATCAATCTCGCCGGCAGGCAGGTGTTGGGGCGGCATGGAGAGGGTGAATCTGAGAGAGGGGCGGAGAGGATATAGATGATGTTTTTTTTTTTTTGCTCCGGTGACATCGACGTCTGGGAAGGACACGAGTCTCCAACGGCGGACTAGTGATCTGCTGTGGGCGATGGAGTTGCTGTGGTTGACGACATCGCCGGCGAGGTGAGGTGGAAGGGATTGTGATTTGGTCAGCGGCGGATGTGGCAGGCTCTGGTGGATGCCGGCGCGGCCGAAGAAGGGAGGATGACGAAGGTCGGTTAGATGGAGGAATGCGCGACGGCGGCGGTGGGTCTGGAGGTCCGGCGAGAGTCTGAGATCCGGCAGTGCGTGTAGTGTGTGTATTAGAGATAGATTTGATGGTAAGTGGTAGGTGGGGCCCAGTAATTAAGTGGATGGTGATGGTGTGGTGGCTGTTCACGTGTACAGAGAAGATAGGTGAGTATGGTAGGATGGGTCCCATGAGTTGGTAGTGGTATTGAGTAATGTCTGTGAAGATTATTTTTGACTTTTTTCTAGCTGTAGGATCATCCGATCCGATGGCTACTAGGTATTCTTATTTCTTTCACTAAGCACTATTCTCACCGGAGCGTGACCCTATATATATATATATAGATTCCAAGTCTAGTTACTCTTTATAATTGGAAATAAATTAAAATTCAACCAAGCCAATCTACAAAATTTAAAAATTTGTCACATAGGATCCCAAGCGTGCGAATCTATCACTTAGACTCAGCACATTCGAGAATTATGTATAGGAGATGTTTTGTATTAAAACTCGTTTTTAATGCACCATTTAACATTATTTTCCAAACAAAAATAACGAGTTCATCCATATATTTAGTGAGTTCATGTACCAGGAGTTTAATCAATTTCAACATACAGCAATATCGAATCGTATCTGATCTGTCTCTCTCACACTCATTTCCGAATAAATAAAGCCAAAGCACCAAAGCAAGCAACAAGGTCTGGAGAAAACATATCATCATATCAAACTCGGACACCTATTGCTAAGAGGAAACAACTTGGTTAATTCAACTGAGATTATTTGATCAGCTCACTTCTTTCCCTTGTAATGATGACGGGACATTTGAGAAGTTACACCGTAATCACAATAAACTCCAAACGCTTCCCTAGTGATCTTCCTCAAGGATACTCAGCTCATTTATTTTATTTTTCAACGTCATTTGCCTTAGCATCTGCTTCTCCTCCCCACATCTTGATTCTTAGAGCTGCCACAGAAGCCTAAACCCACAGCCCAAAATGTCAAATAAGAAGCTTCCGAAAGTAGAAAGTAAGAAATTCCTAGCTTAACAGTTATGTGTTATTACCTCTTTCTGCCAATTAGTTTTGTAGACAATCAAAAAGAGGAACAGTGTCTGTACAAGTGTTCCTGCCACCATCCCATACCATATGCCCTGAAAAGTCCATATTGATAAATAAATAAATAAATATATGTAAAGCTTGTTTAGAACTTGGGACTAATTAATTATGGCATGCATATGATGATGTAATATGCTTACTTTAACATCCATGTTAAGTGCATAACCAAGTATAAGACCCAATGGGATGCCAAACAGATAGTAGCATGCGATATTGACATAGGCAACTAAAGCTTGCCATCCTGCCCCAATAGCCACACCTGCAAGCACGGTTTAATTTATTTATTTAGTCCTCCTGACATTATTAATATTTGTTGGTACTGTTAAATATTCATTCTAAGATTGAAACAGTTGCAATAAAGAAGTGAATGAATTAGGATGAAAAAAGAGATCAAAGTAAATATAGTTTTAATTACCTGAAAGTGCAGGTTGGACATTGTTGACCACAATACAGAAAACTAAGAGAGGTGTGAGCTGGTACACAATTTGCTTGACTTCCAAACTGTTGGAGAACCATGAAGGATATTGGTTGTGGAAGATGAGAAGAAAGCCGGCAATAAGGAGGCCGATTACGAATGAAGATACCACCACCACAAGTACAGAAAACTTGGCTGTCCGAGGATGATCCGCCCCTAATTCATTAGACACTCTTACGCTGCTCCACCAAACAATGGATGTTAATTAAAGATTAACAATAAATTAAATTATCTTTCTAATAAATGTATCATGTATGGAATGACTTAGTTACCTGATTGCTGCATTGAATCCAATGGCTACCATCACTGTCCACCCTACTATGTTTGTGCTGCAAAAACATGAGTAAATTAATGGTTTCATCAAGTAATCAATAATGGTCAACATACACATTGGAACCCAATCTAATTAAATGATGATGCAAATAAAGATTAATTGCACAAAATTTCTTCAGATCCAATCTATTAGAGGATTAAAAGATTTTTTTTTTTTTTTTGTCATAATCAACATATTTCTATATTGAATTTTTGTACCTAAAATGTGTAAAGAGAAAGGAGCTACTCTAAATCTAATTTCTCATCACTTAAAAAAGTAGGAGTATAACCTAATTGCTTGACATCTGAATAAAACAGGATTATTGTTAGACGACCGAATTTGACTAAATATGAAATAAGTGTACCGACACAACACAAATACACACAGATAGTTATTACTTGATCTCTCATTTATTGCCTAGACGTATTCAGTAAGATAGCCAAACCAAAATAATCTATTTATTTAGTTCTTTGCTTATAATTATGGGGGTGGGGGACGGCCACGTCCACTTATTAGAGATAAATATATATCATTATAGTTAGGTTGAAGTCCAGAATATTATGGGACCACATTAATACAAACTGACAAATGATAAAAAGATGAAGTTATTAGATACGTGTCATTTTCGTACACAGAGCGTTTATAAGGGTCATTACCATATGGATAAAGCATCCACTGCAACCTCAGCATTCTTCAAGTACCCAGCAAATAAGACCAGTGCCATAAAATACCACGTCTCTAAGCTGTCAATCAATACCATCAAACGTCACTTTATTATATTTTCATAAATATTCATACTAAACATCACTACAGAAATTGATGACATAGGAAACAGATAAACAAAACAACACCACATCAAGAATCGTCACAAGATCATTAGGGGATTCTTGGATATAAAAAATGGAATGACTATAGTCCCGTTAACAGAATGATTCCGTCAGCGTTTGTTAACGTAAACTATCTACATAGTATAATCTATATGTGTATCCAATGGTGAAAAAAACACCAACAGAACCATCACGGGACCTTAGCATTTTTTAATAAAATATTTTGATTTTGTTTGGATTTTTTGGTTTGAAATAGTTAATTTGAAAAATGTGATGTAGCTAATTGTTAGTGAGATTTTGAATTTATATTAAAATAATATTTAAATTAAAATAATCAAAATTAATTTGATGTAAAAATATAAGAGACGAGACAATGTAAAGTGATGGCTAATTAAAATTATGCGAGTAGATGAATAGTAAATTAAAGTTGATGTAATTTGTAATAATTATTGAATGATATTATTTAATTATATTAATAATATTGAAGATAGAGGAGTTGAACTAAAATTGAATTAGATTTGAATTAATAAAAGTGATTAGTTAAAAATGATTGAAATTTTTTAAGAAATTTATAACCAAGCTTTCCCCTTACATTTTAGGAATAACATTCCATATTATTTTGCAAATGCATAACTATTTAATTAGTAAAAATATTAAAATAAAAATAAACGGCACATGTCTGAGTAGTGGGGCTATGTCTCTGTCTTTGACAATCAAGATTATTTTATTTCCTGGAAATATATGCCTAAGATTCAGCTAAAAAGCCAACAAATTGTCGTGACACAAGATTATTATAAAAACTCCACGACAAACTTTTTTGTCAATGAAGTTATATATTTTGTTAAGTTGTTATAATTACTAAGGCAACTTGCATAGAAGACTTCTTTACTTCTTTGTAATTTTACCATATCTTTAATAATTTAGATGCTAAAGACACAAACTTGAAGATATTTGCAAATCGATCTACTCACAATTTTCGTTGTTGACAGTCTACACATGATGTGACATCGATTGGTAGCAAACAAGTTGCAAAAACCAATGTACTATTTCGCATGTATTCTTTTGTTAGAATCATAATTTCTTATAAGTTAGAAATAAAATCACATTTTATATTTTCAAATAGTATTCCTATCACGGGGACGCTCAAGTCAAACATTTACATTGAACATGCAATGACAACATATTTAATGACATGCCGACTACAAAAATAATAAAAAAAAAAAAAAAAAAAAAAGTTTTTCCATCAAACACACAATACCATTAAACTGAGGTGAGCTGAAGTTACAAGGCGGTTTCCTAACACTGTTTCTTCCGGGAAAAAAATATGATGGTAAAAGATAAAAATATGTTTTCCAAACATGTGTCTTATTTGGACGTCAGCCATCAATTGTTCCTTACCCCACATACGTGGGTTACTATAACTTACTAGGTGATTCAATTTGTTAAAATACATATTTACCATAATTTGAAGTAGTACGTCGTTACTAAATTATTGACATATAAAAGGAAAATACTCTCCTACCCACGGTGGACACATGTTAATATGTCCACCAATGTATGTGACATGCACACAATAGTGATGTATTCATACTTTTTTTTATGCCAAGTTGACCAACTATCAATAATGTTAAGGAGCCAATGGACTCCACTGGACAACTATTATCATCACCAAACTAGGATATTGTATGATAATTAAATTCCATTATTGTATGCACTGCTAAAACGATGACCCAGATATGATGTGACTTGTGAGACAGTCAAGACAGATGCTCTCTATCAATAATAATAATGGTGTGTTAGTTGAACAGATCTAATTTGATATCAAAGAGTGTAATGGTCGGCCATACACAAAATGTAGGTGTTACTGATGATTTATGAACACATTTGTGCATAGGGAAGAACGTAGACTTTTGAGACCACGTGCCATCCGCATCACTACATCTAAAACGCAAACAAAAAAGACCCAAATTTCTATGTTGCCAACATCAATGACTAATGAGGCATGTGATCTGATAAGAGGGCCATATAATAGTAAAAAATATATAACTACACTTAATTAAAATAACTATAACAATTGTCCACCATAAATAGCGTACCAAAAACGTTACTAATAGGGTAAACTAATGTGACAGAAATAAAAATATTAACGATATAAATGAAGGAAACATTAAAATATTTACCGAAAATGAAGAAAAAATTAAAATATTTTTTAGTAAAAAATTTGCCTCAAATTATAAATACTAATAGCCGATTTTGTGCATATGCACAAAAGCAAATAAAATATTACACATTACATGTATGTATATTACATTTAAAACTATAAGTCAGATAATGTGTAAATCGCATTTTAAATCTTGAAAATTCGTAAAAATTAACTATATAAATAGAAAATATATAATTTACATATGATTCACTATATTTATGACATGAACGGAACAAATAAAATAATCTTGCAATTTTGAAAGACCATGATCAATTAATTAGCTATAACTTATTATTATTATTATTATTATTATTATTATTATTATTATTATTATTATAGCAATTGTTTATGTAATTTTAAGGTGTTTAATTATGACACTCATGCCAATTAACTAATATTAGATAAAAATCGCTTAAAAAGACAAAAAATATTTTATCTTAGAAAAAGTAATTTAAAGGAAAAAAATTGCAATACTGTTTAATGTAAAATTATAATCAATTAGTGTTAGAATGGAATTTGTTAAAAATTAACACTGTACATTATTATATTTTATGTTAAGTAATGTAATTTATTTATTTTTTATTGCTTTGTAATTTTTATTTTTAGTTATGTTTTATTATTCATTATTCATTTTATTTTTAAAATATAATTTTAAACTTATTACTGAAACCATATAAATACTTCTTGATTAGATACATATATTCATAAAAAAACAAATTAAAAGTCACCAAAGTAAAGCATATGTTACTGATCTGTAAACGTTACAATATTTATTTTATTTGTCAATAGAGAGAGAATATCACATTTATAATAACAGGTTTTGGAGGAAAAATCAATTGTCATCAATACTTTGCCAATAATTTTATATATATATATATATATATATATAGATTGCTAGCAATCTATTAAATAAAATATCATAAATTTTACTTCATAAATTATAACTACATCTATATATATATAATTACTAGCTCAAAACATTTAATAAAACCTATTTAATTTTACATATGTGGCAATTTAACAATTTTCCCTCCAAAAACCGTTACTATTTGATGTATTTAATCTTTCATTTAATCATTAAATAATTAATACTCATCACTTCAAAATTACAAAAATTATTTTAAATTTTTTATTAATGACAGTTGACCATATAATGTGTTGACCTTATAATGTGATTAGATGTTATTATTATTGTTACATTTAATTTTTTTTTTAAAATAAAAAATATATTTGAAATTCCTAAATAAATAATAAATAATTCACAAATAAAAGACGTACCAAAATATACATTACATCCAATCAGATAAACGCAATTTAAAAAAAAAAATATTCCAACTCTTTTAATTGTAAATTTGGTCTGCTAAAAAGTGAAAGAAAAATAATTAATCATTATATGCATACAGACTCACAATAATTTATTTATATATGTGCAAATGCACAGGTCGAATACTAGTGTCACTTAACTTTCCAAAAAATGATTCTGTTAATTAAGACAAAAACCGTTACATTTTATATTAACTGAGTAATAATTATATTTTTTAATTGTATCATATAATAGTTATTATCAGAATTAATAATTATATTTTGCATTAAATGAAATATGAAAGTTACATAAACATAAAAAAATTATATTGTTAAACTTTTTGTTCAAGTTATTTATTCTAAATCGATTTTATTTATTTTTTTACAATAGTTATTAACAGAATTAATAATTATATTTTGCACTAAATGAAATATGAAAGTTACACAAACATACAAAAATATATTGTTAAACTTTTTGTTCAAGTTATTTATTCTAAAATCGATTTATTTTTTATCTAATTAAGCGATTATTTTTTAAATAAATTAATTTATTTTAATGTCATAGTAAATCCTTTAAAATCGCGTAAGCAATTGTTATAACAAATTTAATAGTTTCCAGCAAATTAATTGGTCATGATTTCTCAAAATTACAAATATTAAAATATTTATTACATTTTATACAATCAATATAGTGATTCATATGCAATTAAATAGTTGCATACCATTTATTTAACTAATGATCAAATTTTAAAACATAATACCATTATTTAACTTATAATTTTAATATTATATGCATAAATATAACTTATAATTCTTTATGTTTAAAATTTAATATTATTATCTAACTTATAATTTTAATATTATATAAATACAAATAACTTATAATACTTAATTATATTAATATCTAAATACTTAAATAGACATAGATATTATATATTACAATTAATTAAATGAATAACTAAATACTTAAATGGAAATGTGAAATATTTATTTTTAACCTAAGGCTATTGTTGCTAAAATTAGGTGATAAGTTAGCAAATAGTTCATAAACTAGCTTATATAGTTGATAACTTATGATTTATGGCGCATAGATAGCTTATGTGATAAACATGTTGAATAAAATTAGCATAGATAGCTTATGTGATAAACATGTTGAATAAAATTAGCTGATATAAAAATTTCAATAAATTTATTTGAAAAGATACACAAATAAAACTTATGAGATAAGCTCGAACTTGTTCGTTCTACTAAATCAAACTTATTTGAACAAAAAAAGTATAAGCTAGCTTATANAAAGAAAGAAAAGAACTGACCAGAGCATGAGCGCGGAGGCGAGAGACAAGCGGACGAAACCCCTGAGATTGTGGAAAGCCCTCCACGAGAACCCGGTCCACGTCCTCCCGCACGCGCCGCAGAATATGTATGCCAGCTGCGCCAGCACTATGAACCACCAGGACGCGTTTAGGACCAACGCGCCGCCAGCCATCCCCCACCCGAGTTTCAGCATGAGCAACCAGCTGAAGAAAACGTGGAGCACCAGGGCCACAGCCGAGATCCAGGCCATTGCCATAATCTTGCTCTGCGCCTGCAAGAACTTGGCGATGGGGAAATTGACTGCGTAGGCGAACAGCTGTGGGATCATCCACAGCGCGATTTTTCCGGCGGCGCGCGATATATCCTCCGTCTGCCCGATCAGCAGCAGGAAAGGCAGCGCGAAGATGTAGAGGAACATGAGGATGAAGGCGGTGCAGAGTAGAATCACCCACGACCGCTGCATATATATTCCCAGCATCTCTACTTGCCCAGCGCCGTAGGCCTGACCGCACAGGGTCTCCAGAGCGCTTCCCATTCCCAGCTGTGAGTGAGTAAGTTTTAATTAATTCAATTGGAATCAAAATCAATCAAAACACTTTTACAATCAAGCAAATTACTATCCATAGCTGTATAGAGTTGAATCGAAAATCAAAAATTTCGGATCTAATTAATTGGGAGAAATTGAATACCATAATACCGAAGGACAGTCCGGCGATGACGGAATTCTCGATTGAGAAGGCGGCGAGATCCAGGGTGCCGACGTGGCCGGCGAAGGTCTGGGTGATGGCGCCGAGCGAGTACTGGCAGAGGGAGGTGAAGATGGCGGGGCCGGCCAAATACCACAGCTTCTTGGACTCACGAGCGAATGCTTTGGAGAACTGGCGGGCGCTGGAGATCGGAGGGATGTCGTCGCCGTCGTCAACGAAGGAGGTGATGAAGGAGTGGGAGGTGACGAAGGAGTGGGTTGACCACCGGTAGACGAGGTAGTCCTGTACAGAAAGCTCCGGCTCCGCCTGCTCCTCCTCCGCCGGCGCCAGGAGCGGACGTTTAGAGGCGTTCTCCATAGCTATGCGCACCTTCTATATATTTCTCTCTCAACTCTGCCGGCTGGGTTTTGTTTGTTCTTTTTGTTGAGAAAGTTTTTTTCTCTCTTGATTGATTTGGGGTTTCTTTTATTGGCTCTGCTATGATGTTGAGGCTTATTTATGGTGTGGGAATATGGGTTCACGGTCAATGAGGAGCCCTAAAATATAATTTATTTCAATTTGGTTGCATCATATAAGACACTCTTTGAAAATTATGTGACCTACTATTGACTTTTAATAATAGTACAAGATTTGATTTACAAAATACGATCTCGCACATAAAAAGTTTCTCAAGTATGAAACTTGTATATAGATATAAAAATATTAGAACGCAAAATGCAAATGGAAAACCGGTAAAGGATTCATCAAAATAAATGTGTTTCTTAATGCAGGGTTTTCAAATAAAATGAAAAACATGTGCAATTATGAATGATATCTCGTGTGAATCCGTGAATTAGATAGAGAAATTATTTAGATATAAATATATAGAGAGACGCGTACGTCTTCGCCCGCCTCGTGTTCAAAATGAGGGTCAAAAGTAAAAACCAGCGGTTTAAGTGAAGGGGTTGGCAGATATGACGCTAGTCCTGCACTCCTACTCAGCACCTAGGTGGGGTCAACGATATTTTATTACCAATTTATAATATGAACTTGCATATTTCGATGCGACTCAATTGCATCATTAGTGTTAATTAATTACATAAATATAGGACTCACCATCTGTGTTCCCATGTAGGTGCGGTACGGCTTTTGTTCTATTTGTTTTCACGGATTTGTTTAACTCATAAATCGCCGAAAGGTCGGCATTTTTTTCTATCTTAATTAGTTGGAGTGGCGCATTCATGGTGCCAGTGCCACCATATAAAAGTGATACAACTTTCCTTTTATAATTGCATGCCTAAACGGCAAAACGTTCGAATTTTCGTCGATGAAATGAAGTCCGGAAAAGGTAGATGTGGTTTTCAGTACTGGGCCTCCAATAGCCAGCTGGATATTTCCCTATTTCAGTTTAGAAATGCAAAGAACTTTCATGTCAATCTAATTTGTAACTCCCTTTCCATTGTTGATACACATATGAAATTTAAATCTTTTTATTTTCAAATTTTGTTTTTCCTCTTAAATATACTAGTGTGTACTCCGTGCGATGTACGGGAACAATATTAAATTAACAATATTATAAATAGACCTGGAGTTTGAGTCACTCAATGACGAAAGTGGAAACTACTATTAATCCTATTTAAAAAGAGGCAGAAAAAAAGAAATTATAAATTAAATAAGAGAATAAACAATATTTAATAATTATAAATTAAAGATTCGGGATCAAACAATGTAAAACGATTTTGTATAAGAGAATATAAAATTTACATTATTTTATATAAGAGAATATAAAATTTACATTATTTTGTATAAGAGAATATAAAATTTTTATGTTTAATATTAAAAGCACCTAAATATATTAGTATATGTAAAAGTATTCAAAAAATTTTATATTATTTTTGAAAGATGTGAAGTCACCTACAACTGTTCTAAACAATTTTAGAAGGAAAACATATCTAAAAACATTTGAATTTAACATTGTGTAAAAAAGATTTTTCTAGACTATTTTGTAAATAAAATATGTCTACAAATATTTAAATTTAACATCAATTATGTATATGTTGTTAGAGTAGGGTACCCGGCGTTCCAATCTGATTGGACGTATTCTACTTGTAAATACAGTCTATTGGAATTATATTATGAATAAGGCATTTCTTTATCTTAAGAGAAAGCATTTATCTTATAAATACACTTAAGATAAAATCCCTAGATCACTTATGGTTATAAGGTATGGTTGCGCATAGAGATGGTAATCATGGAACATACCTTGAAAGTCGTGATCTTAAATACAGTTCCAAGTCGATGGATGTTTCGAGATGGGATATCGAATAATCCATAAAAGACTTGCACATAGTTTGTACGCTTGTTGGACAAGAATGTTGCATTCCATCAACATTAGCGTGTGACGCAAATACATTTATGTGGGTGCTTGTTAGAGAACAAGTTCACTGAACATGACCGTATGAAAATTCTTAATGAAGAATTATTTTAGTTAATAATCTGTCGAATAAGAATTTTCATGTTACAATAGTACATGACTAATCCTAAGACTTGAGGCACAATGGTAACTTTGTGCATATTACATTCTACTTTGATTTATCCTTTTGGTAGCTAGCACTATCGTATAAAGGGATATTTTGGGTATTATGTTAATATGTATGGAAGTTTGTTAGTGGCCAATAAAGGATTCGACACTTATGAAGATAAGTGAATTTCCTATGTGTTTCATAGTTATTAATCCAAAGTCCTTGGCCAAGGCAGAGATGAATAGTGATTCATAACCGGGTTAATAAACTTGAAATAGAATCATAGTTATTAAGTCAATTTGGGTTTCGACAAAATCATACCCAAGACTTAATCGGGAAATTAGATGTCGAAAGGATTTTACATGTATGGAGTTGTAATCGGAATAGGTTTACTCGCTATTCACTTAATACTAGATTCATGCTACTTGCTAGGTGTTACCATGATATGTGGGTTCATAAATTAAAGGGTTAATTCATGAATAAGAGTTAATAAGATTTAACTCAAATTACAAAGTGTTGTAAACCCACTACTAGTATTAAGGTGAACCTAAAAGGTCACACTAATTATGAACAAAGGTAAAGATTGTATTTCTAATGGTTAGAATTAATTGATAAATATCTAATTTGATTAGATATCAATTAAAGGAATATATTAATCAATAAGATTGATTAATTACATTTTGGATATTACTTTAGTAATTAAGGTAATTACTAAATTAATAAAGTTGGATATTACTTTAGTAATTAAGGTAATTACTAAATTAATAAAGTTGAATTTTAAAATAGGATTTTAAATTTCAAAATCCAAAATAATAATAATATGATTAATATAATATGGATAAAAATTGGGAAAATGATATAATAATAAAGTCTTGAGAAAGATTCTCAAGATTTATTATTCAATTATTATTTATATCTTTAAATATGATTTAAGGATTAAAATAATAAATATGATTATAATAGATGGTGAGTAATGGTGGTTATGAACAACCACACATAGATTATTATTTTCAAAGTCAATAGTTAGTAAATACTATTTAAATAAAATATAATTTTATTTAAATATTACTAAATATTGATTATTTTTATGCTAAAATGTTTAGTATAAATAGATGCAAAATGTTTGCAAATATGGCTAAGTGATTTTGAGAGAAAATCAAAGAGAGAAGAAAGTGTTCTTCATATATTTCAAGAAAGTGTTCTTGGAAATTCCCAAATTATATCTATATATATGTTCCTATACAAGAAAACCGAGACATTCCTACTAGCGAAGGAAGGTAATCGGAACCGGGATTCATAGGGTGGATACGATTAGAGGGAAGACACTTGGATTCCTAAAGCGAGTAACCTCAAGCCGTTGAAGTTACAACCGGGAACCGATTCCCACAATCCACATCTTAGTTGAAGGAGTTCAAGACACTCGGTAAATATTTCGTACTAGTATTTACTTTAATATAACAAATCAAAATTTGTATATGATGCATGTTTTAAAGATGACGATCAGTTAATTCGCAATTAGTATGTACGGGTGTTGTATTTATGTGATAAATACTTACTTTAAAATTTTAAATTCCGCTGCGTACAGCCCGTACGGTACTAGCGAACCCAACATATGTGTATATGTATATATAGATAAAAAAAAAAATCTAAACAATGTGTTTGAAGTATCTAAAATATTATAAGCATAATTTAAAAAAGACATTATGTCATATGATACCTAATTTATGGCGTTACTTCCATCTAAAAAAATTTGATTACACACAATTATATTATAATTTTTACGTTGTTATCGAGGATGTATTGTTAGCTTATAATATTTGTAAAAATATTAGTAATTAGACCGATGAAAATTAGCTTTTTAGAGTTGATAATGGATTTCTAGTAGTAATTATGAATTGGTTTTTATTTTATTTTATATTTTTAAATCTTTATAGATAAGAGATGAGATTTTTTAAACTCGTGACACGTATGCAATGGGATTTTGTAACAGGTGTAGATTTATGCTATGAGATTTTATAAGCTACTAATTGTTTTTTAAACTTACCGAGTGTTTTGTTCAGATTGTGTGAAATTAAAAAATGGACAACCGATTTATGTGAAAGTATAGATAACACATGCCTCATTATACAGAGATTGAAAATGCAGTACGCGATTTTGAGAAAAAAGTTAAAAAAAAAAAAAGTCTAACGCATTTAATGTTGCACGCGTGAATTCAGGAAACAAAGTAATAATTTGCTAGTAATAGAAAATAATTAATGCTAACAAAGTTTGACTAAAAAATTGACTTTCCATCTTTAAAAAAAAGTTATTCTTTTTATATAAGTATAGATTTTCTAAATGTGCAAAGCTCTAAGAGAATCTCCAATAGTTTTTTGTTTTGTAGTTTTTTTGTGTTTATTCTCCCTCTGGGAGCTGTGTTGATTCTCTCTTCTGGGAACTGTGTTAATTCTCTTTTTGAGCGTGAGTGCGTTGTGGTGTTTAAGCTGCTCTATGGGTTGTCCTCTCACTGGATTCAGCTAGGTGGCTACTTGGCTATTTCTGGTTGTTATTCAGATGTAATTATGTGTGTGTGTGTGTGTATTTTTTTTGTAATAGAACTCCTATCGTTTCGTAAAAAAAAGGTCTTGATTTCTATCGGTGTTTATACGCATATGTTCAGTCATTGTTTAGGTTTCTATAGTGAATCTAGCTAGGAAATTTAAATAGCAATTTTTTTTATCAAAATTAATTGTTTAATCAATATTTTTACTAATATACATTCTTGTAACGCCCACTTCTGACTTAAAGAAAATAATAATATTTTCAAGTAATTTTAAACTTTTCAAAAATAGAAAAATTCTTTTTCTTGGGCCCGTTACTCACAAAACTCTTTATTTTCTGAAAATTCTAACTCATTGCTTTCTCTTATCTCAACCTAAAGCTCGCTAAGGGTAAAAAGGGACTAAATTCCCAATATAACTCGAGATATGCAATAAACTCAAACATAAATGCAATAATTCTCAAACTGCTCAATTTCATAATCCTCGAATTCAAACATGCAAATAATCTCATAATCCAGTGTCTCAACATGGAAAATAATGATGAAAATAAATCTGCAAATGAATAATAATAAAATGACTGATAAATAAATAACTGGTGACCACACCGCCCTGCCCTCCAGTGCCGCCTATCCAACTGATTAACCTAAAAATGTTAGTTGTGGGGGATGAGCATAATAATCAACGTGCTCATTTTAGCTTATAAAGTACGTACATTCGAATTAAACAACAGATACCTTGTAAGCATATATAGTACACAAATAATGGTTTCCACCCGACTAAGGTGCATCTAAGGTTCTTTCAACCGTCTGGATGGTGCATTTGTACCCATCTCTTTTCTTTTGTTTTCTTATGTCTACTTATCCCCTCGGGTTACTAGCTAGCATACACATATCTTATCTGGGAACAACTACAAAAATAGTTGTTCATACCGCACAGGATCAACTAGGGGTGGGTTCGGTTCGATAATCGAACCGATAAGGGATTACCGATACCGAACCAATTGTTTCGGTAATACTAAAATATAAACCGAAACTGAACTGACTTGTAGTCGGTTGTCGGTTCGGTTTCAGTTTTATACCAAAATTACCGAAAAGAAAATAAATTAACAACATAAACAGGAAAAGCAATAATGAACACCTCCAAATCTCAAGCCCATCATCGCTACACAATGAAAGATCATATTTTTGAGCTAAAACAACATTAATTTTTAAGAAAATAGAGAAAGAAAAGGGAAATATAGCACTTGAAGTGAATTAAGTCAAGCCCTAGAAGGAAGCAGATGAATGCAGATACACCTCAAATTTGTCATAAAAGCTGCAAAAAGTCTTATTTGGTGACAGCAATAATAATTCAAAAATTCAAAATAAAAACAAAGAAGAGATGAAGAGAAGAAGGAAGAAAGTGTGGAACAACAAATAAAATCTAGTTTAGCTAGAACTAAGAATAGCCATCCCCGATATAATCTGTCATGGATATTTTTCTTTAACTCCAGCGGATGGAGTTTGAAAATTGTGACGAGGGAGGGACTGAGATTGTATTACATAGGATGAGTAGATGTAGGTCTTTATTTTATTTTACTTAGCTTTTTTTTCTTTCTTTTATTTATCTTGTCGATTCGGTTCGGTTATTACCAAACCCATATATAGCAGTACCGATACCGAACCAATAAGCTTTCGGTAATTGATAGTCGGTTACCGATAACAATGAGTCGGTACAGTTCAGTTTATTTTCTCGTCAGTTCGGTTCGATTTTTAGTCTCGAGTAAGAAAATGCCAGCCTTAGGATCAACCGTCTCGACGGCGATCATAATATAAAACTAAAAAACTGAGAAACACATAATTCATGCAAATAACGGCAAACAAAAATACCACAGTGTTTAATCAGAAGGATGTACTAGATAGACTTCCCCACCTGGATATACTGATTCTGCTCGGATGATTCGTCGCTTATGCGGAAACTCGAGGGCTCGACTCATCGGAATCTACATAAAGGTAAGCGATACTCGGATCAATATCTAACTCTCTCTCGGTAAACTAAATTTACTAATTGAAAGGATTTTCTAGCTTAAGGTTTATGACTTATAAAATTTATGCTCTTTCTTAGATGTTGGTACTCTCGACTCGGACTCTTTCAAAATTTTCGAAATTTACTCTTTAAAAATCTAAAATTAGCCTGGAGTCGAAAAATCATTTTAATGCTCGGGATAATTTCTAAAAATTCTAAAAAAAGCTCGAGATACTCAGAATAGATCAAAATAATTTAAAAATATATTCGGGCTCGTCTTGGGCTCGATTCAGGCTCATCCGGTGCGGTCCGTCCGTGGGCCGATGGCACGGGTCAGTCGCGGGTGGTTCCAGGCGCACGGCCGATGCAACCTGGTGCGTTGGCTACCTCGGCTCACGCTGGTCTGCTGTTGGGTAGCTCTCGTGTGCGCACACGACCAAGGGTATGCAGGGCGTCACATTGGTTGGCACGGGTGCTGCTGGGTAGCTCGCGTGCAAAAGGGCACGACCACTGGAGTGCTGGCCGCAGGGAAGGCGACGCGCGGGCGTTGGGGCTGCGTGATGAAGATGTGGTCATTGGCCCTTCCGAGCCCGAGTACGAGGCGCAATCGAGCCATGAGTAACGGCGTATAAGTGGTCGGGACGACCGACTGGACTGTGCGAAAGAGGCTCGTGTCCACGGTAATGGTCGCGCACGTGGAAATTGCGCGACGCATAGACCAGCGATGTAATGCCCCGTTTAATTGTAAATTACTTGGGAATTTTTATTATTATTATTGTTGATGTTAAGTATTATTTCGATATTATTACTATTATTATTGAATGTCTAAATTTTTATATGTCTAATTGTCATTAATTATTTAATTGTATATTTTGATTATTAATATTATTATTTTAAATAATGTGTATAAATATTATCCGGATATTTATTTTATTTATTGTACGAGAAACTGAGCCATTTTATCTTGGCTAAGTCGATCCCGTATGAACCGGCCCGAACTTCTTAAAACCGCATGACCCGGTCCGCACCACGCCTCAGCCGACCCGAACCCGCGGCCCGCCCCGTTTTCCGTTCGTGCGTGTGTGTGTAATTTATCTTGTGAGGCAAGATATATTCTTACAACCCTAAGCACATCGATTATTAATCAGACGCTCTTTTCCTTTCTTTCCTAAAAATCCGAACGCACAACCTTTTCCTTCTCTCTCGTCATCCTCTCAACCTCCCCTCGTTCGAGCATCAGAAAAGAGAAATTCAAACCTCTCATCGTCAATCTACTTCACGATCCCCGCCATCGACCCTCTTCCTCGCTCAAACCGGTCGCCTTCCTCCTTTCGCGAAAGAAGAACCAACAGCCCCCGCGAGTTCTCCTCAGCCGCTGCAACTCTGGCGGATTTTTCCCACCTCCACGCGCAGGCCTCCTCCTCCATGTCATCCCCTCTCGCTCAATCTATCCATCGCCGCCCTCAAGTTCTCTTCCTCGTTTTGCTGTCGCCACCATCATCCTCCGCGAGCAGCACCTCCGAGCGCCCTTCACCATTGCTGCCTTTCCCGCTCACGAGACCACCAGCAGACCCGACTTCCGGCGACCATTTTCTGCTGCTCCTTCGCATCGCGCAGCAACATTCCAACGAATTCTCCCTCTCCCCTGCGATCTTCTCGGACAGGCTCCTCCGCCGCGACCCGAGCAGGCTCCTCCGCTCACAACCCCCACGGGCAGGCCTTTCCTCCAGCGACTTTCCGTTCGCGCAGCAGCAGTTCACGTCGAGAACCAATCGTCGAGCCCTCCACCAATGCAGCAATTGCAACGATAACCTAGCGAACGACCTGCTCCTCCGCCGTGACATCGTCAGCCACTGCTTCTCTTCCCTCGGCGAGCCGCGTGAAATCGTCGAGCCGTTAACGCAGCCGCGAGCTGTCTCCGATGTACCGTCGTCCCGTTTTCAAACGCATATCCTGAGAACGGTACTTAGGCTCGAACCCTGTTCAATTTCGTGATATGCGATAATTTGACTTGTGATGTATTATCGTGTGTTGCTCGATATCATTAATCGAAAATACATAATAATTCAAGTGAAAGATTATAAGATGTTATTTTTCTATCGTTTTTAATAAGACCGAGTTGGACCTCGGACAACATGTTTTATGATTTATCGAGTGTTTAAGTCTTCAGGAATGAAAATCGAGGCTTGCTTAACATATAAATTGTGTGAATTGATGGACATGTCGTTGTGCGAGTATATTGAGTTGTTTAAGGCATGAACACCCAAAAATCGAGCCTCAGTTGGGCTCTGTTTTTTTCGACCAAGATGATGTCTTTTGGACAAGTGTTCTCTTTGTAGTGCTCTGAGTTAGGGTTCTGTGAGTTTTGGAATCTTGTGAGTTGGAGTTGAAATGAATTTGTTATGATTTTTCAAAGTTCGACGAGCATGCTGTTTTCAAATAACTCGGATAGAAATCTTGCCCTTAATTCACTATTGTTTTAGATGGCCTTAGCGTGTCTGAATGAAAATGTATTCCTCATGAAAAATGTAGTATTTATTGTTAGCTGCCTGTGCAAATTGGAATTAGTAATTTGGAGTTTTGGTTGATTTTATATGAATTTTCGAAGTGTCATGTACCTCCAGTTTTTATGAAGCCAGGACTATGTTTATGCATTTAATGTGTGCTCAGTTTTGATGACCCAAACGTGCTCGTATGAAAAGGTTCTCTTCATAACATTTGTAGAATTCCAGGTGTAGGTTCTGTAGGTTTTGAGTTTGTGTGCATTGGAGTTGTGTAGCTTGAGTTGTTGTCATTTTTCTGAGGTGTTGTATATTCAAGAAGTTGTTCTCTGACTGTTTCTATGAACTAAATGTTTTGCAGTTAAACTCATTGATAATATTGTTATTTGGCAATTAAGTCTTCAGAAAGGTTGTAGAAAATTGAGTTAGCTACTTTAGGGTTTTTGAATTTCAGTAATATCATGTTTGTAGCTCATGTTATCATGGAACTACTAAAGTTTTGTAAGTTGTTCTTTTCCTTTCCGGACTGCAGTTATGTTTTGTGTTGTTGTTGATTTATCTATGTGGAGATGTCATAATTTGCTAAAGTTTCTTCACAAAAATTGTAGCTTTATGTCTTACCTTTCTATGAGTACCAGATTCACATTTTTATCATGACTGTAGCTCGAGTTATCCTCAAAATGCTCCCATCCTGTTTGAATTTTTGACTGCACCCTAATGTGAATGTTTGTTGATTTATTATGTGGATAATGACCTCGTCTGATTTTATGTTGCTCTTGAGAGTTGTAGATCTATGTCTTAAGAATCACATGCCACTGGTTTCATGTTATTTAGACTTATGTGTTGCTAGATGTGTTCATTTGAAAATCGCTGCACATATCATGTTTTACAAAATCATTAGTTTGATTTCAAAAATGGCACGCACCATCGAAATGCTCGATTATATGACCTAAGTGATTTATTTCTTGATCCATGTAGTATGTTTGACCCTTAAATGTCCTTAGAGTTAAAAGTTAGCAAACCAAGATATCCACCAACCGAAAAAGACTTAAACATAAACTGTTTACAAAGTATATATNAGTGTTAATGGTGCTTTATAGCACTTCAACAAATCAAAAAATGAAATCTAGCCACTTTTTTTTTTAAAAAAATGAAATATAACCATTCCAAATCGGCCACTCTCCCCCTTTCGAAATTTTTTTTCATCTTTCATCTCTCTCTCTCGCCGCAGCTCTCTTCTCTCTCTCCCGCTTTTGAAATTTTTTTCATCTTTCATCTCTCTCTCTGCTAAAGCATTTTTCATCTTTCTTCCCCAGAGCCGCAGCTCTCTTCTCCGGTGATTTCGAAACAAGGTTCTTTTTTTTGTTTTCTTTTTTGTGTTGCGATTTTTAGGGTTTTTTTGTAATATTTTTGTGTGTTATTTAGGCGATTTTTAGGGTTTTTTTAGTTAAAATGTGCATTTTTAGGGTATTATTTTCAATTTGTATTATTTGTGTGTTGCGATTTTTAGGGTATTAAAATGTGCATTTTTAGGGTATTAAAATGTGTTTTTCGTGTGATGTGATTTTGTGTATTATTTTCAACGTACCAAATCGGATTATTTTTAGAGGGCATGCTCGAGCTCACGCGTACCAAATCGGATTATTTATTTTTGGGGCTAATATGTGCATTTTCAATTGAAATATGTATGGTTAAATTGAAATATGTATAGTTAAATTGAGGTATTATTTTTTTGGGGGTGCTAAATGAGGTAGAAATTATTTCTGGATTATGCACACCGACTTAAAATGTCATGTGAAGTACTAAAATTCCACACAATTTGTTGTAACTGAAATTTACTGTTGATTTGATGGTCACTCCTTTGCTTCATAATACTTTTGGCAATGTCCAGAGAATTTTTTTTTTATTGTCTCTGGTGATTGTAATCTGATGGAAGCACTTTGAGTAGGTTAGTGGATTAAGCAGAGTAGGGACATCACTTTTAAAAATGATGTTCTTGCAAAATATTCTTTGTTATTGATTTTACAGTAATTATTGCTTTTATGTATTTTTCCTTCCACTTCAAAGTGCTTGGTAAGCCTGAAACTACAAGTGATGCCAGGTTGCTATTCTGCTTCTCACTGAAATTACTCCGAAAGGTATAGCTGTACACAATGCTGATCTTCCAAACTAAAATATGATCAAAGTAAAATGCTGATCTTCCAATTGCAATATGCAGATAGTTGTGGTAAAATTGTGAAAAATTATGCCTTAGTACAACTCTTATAAACTACTATCCCCATTGCATTTAGGTCAGACCAGTGGGATGGCTTTCACTTGTACTGAATCCTGTAGGCAGAGTCGTAACATATTTGTCAATGGGAATGCTGAAATTGCTAGGTTTGAAAGGAAGAAGGTGAGGTTTATCATTGATTGAAATTCTATATCACTTCTTTTATATGCTTTCTATGTATGTTATGTCTGTTACATGAATATTCGAATGTCCCCAATCATTTCTTATCGTAATATTGGGTGCAATTTTTGATGAAAATGATTCAAAGGTAAGGTTGTCTGTCTCATTCTATTGTTTAATTATTTCTTTATTAAGTGGTACTACAGTTTAAACACTGCACAGAGTCTTCATAGGCTGTCATGTCCTCACTATTGCATTTAATGGACAGTCTTTTGGAAATAGTTAGTGACACATGGGCACAGCAGTCGAGATACCATGTTTTACTGCCCATCAATATATTTTACATGTGCACTTTGTACCTTTGCTACTTGTTACTTGTTAGGCACTCTGAATGCATGTTTAGTAAACGTAAATACCATTAGAGTGGAATACTGAATGACTATACACATGAATGCTACTGCTAATTCAGGCCTATTTTTGGATTACATATAAGATCACCTTGATTACTGATAACTGTTTTAAAATCTTTCTACTTGAGCATCTCACTTAATTTTGTGGATTTAAACTATGATATTGCATGCATACAGTGATTAACTACTTGATTGGACATCTCGCTCTCTAAAGATGAACGATTTCAAGTTAGTGCTTCAACCATCTGGTTTTTATGATGTGCTTATAATACTAATGTTTTATGCACTGGTTGGTTATACTGGAGTTCGTTCATATTTGAACTGGTACTACAAGTGTTTCACCTTATATTTTGTCTGTTCATTTTGGAAATGTGCAAATATATGAACTCATATTTTTTGTTCATTTTGTTAGTGTTTTCATTTTTTTTATAATGTAAATGCATTTCAACAAACAAAATACTTATGAATACTAATAAGAATTTTCCTGTAATGTTGGTGTTTAAATTGAAACCAAGAATTGTCAACTTCTATCCATAACAAAACAAAACAATGCTTAACTCAGAATAAAAGTACAAAAAAAGGCTAAATTTTGAACTGAAGCGGAGCAAGAAACAAGAAACAGGTTTCTTGAACAAGAAACAAGTATCTTGAGCTCAAGAAACCAGTTTCTTCCTCAAGAAAAAACCTCCTGTTTCTTGTTCTAGAAACAAGTTTCTTGAGCAAGAAACATGTTTCTTGAGGAAGAAACTTGTTCTTGAACCAGGTTTCTTGAGCTCAAGAAATAGGTTTCTTCCTCAAGAAACCAGTTTCTTGTTCCTTTTCGAACATACGACATTCCAGATACTCTGAACCTCGTCTTTTTTTGAAGGTGAGTGTGCTGAAAAATTCTAAAGTGAGGTTGTGGTACGCCAGCTTGGCCATTGTGGCATATTTTGTCAATCTAAGCGTCTCTAGGTACCCTTTGACCTCCATTAGAATACCGAGAACCTCCAGTAAGTTGAAGTCGAACGAGTTCGGTTTGACCATCTTCTTTTGCGGGAGGCGACGATAGGTCTCCTCTTCTCTTTATGAAAATATAGCAAAGGGTGCATTATAAACTGCCGGAAGTTGCAGTCTTCAGCCATGGAATCAGATGAACACGGTGGATCCTGGCTCGAGCCGTCCCCTACAGAAGGCTGCAACACCGAGCCCGGTCGGACTCTCTGTTTCTTGCTCCTATGCATCCATACTCATAAAGTTGTTAATGAGGTATGATGTTTTTTTGCACAAAAATAAGTTTTGTAGTTTACGTGGAAAAACTTCAGTTTTTTTGTTCAAGAAACTAATGAGTTTCTAATGAGTTTATGTTGTTTACTCAAGAAAGAGTTTGTAGTTTAACTTCCGTTTTCTTGACTAGAAACAGGCTTCTTCACAAGAAACAGACTTCATGAGCCGGAAGCCTGTTTCTTGACAAGAAGCCTGTTTCTTGACAAGAAACCTGTCTCTTGCTCAAGAAACCTGTTTCTTGTAAAGAAGCCTATTTTTTGAACAAGAAATTGGTTTTTAACCTGTTTTTTAATATTGTGTTTTTAAAAAAATTTAAAAAATATTGATTGTTTCATGATTGTTAGGGGGACTGTTGGAGTTGGAGATGGGGTAAAGGTTACACTTGGGGCGGCAGAATCAGTTGTCAGACGAAGCCTAAAGTAATATGCTATATTAAGAGTCAATAGGTGCTTCCGTCTTGATTGGGATCAAAAGGGCATTTGACAACCATCAAACTAGTCGTTGTAGTTAAGTCCCAAGTACTTGGATGCGCAATTGGCAGATTAATGTTGTTTGTGGGTTGATCGTTGAATATTGTTGTTATTTGTTGGTGGAATTTGTTGATGATGTGATCATTGAATATTGTTGTCGTTTGTGAGTTGAATTTGTTGATATTGTGATCATTGAATATTGTTGTTATTTATGGGTGGAAGTTGTTGATGTTAGGAACAATTTTGGTTCTTTCAGGTACAAAAGATAAATGATCATAGAATGCTCACACCTCTGCCGTGCTCTTTTCTTCTCGAGCATTGTAGTTGATGTTTGCACTTAATGTTGGCTGCAAATGAAGTTAAAAGAAAGCAAGTATATCCTTTTAAAATCAAGTGAAACAACATAGACAGGGTCATGATCTATTCACACAGGTTGATAAAAAAAAGTAATATTTAGGAGTTTTTTTTTTTCCTAATACACCTTTTAAGATAATGAATATCGCATTCTCGTGATTCTGTTTTGTACATCACCATGGAAATGAAGAAAAAAACACCTTTGGGTATACAAAGAACTTTCAGGAATTAAAATGCTCTAAAGAAGAGCAGTACTAAAGATAACCAAAAGGATGATAACTAACTCCATCACATACATATAAAAACTAGTTGTCCATGGCTCTGTTGTATTTTCATATTTTCAGTTTAGACAAACTGAGTTAACTATGCATATCTGAATCTAAGAGAATATTAAACAACCAAAAAGATTAAATAAAATATTCGGACAACACACAAATAAGTGATAACTTTGAAATCCAGTCATTTTATCCAACTAACACAAAAATACACACAACAATTTGTTCCACTAAGTTTTAGTTTCAGCAAACCAACTAGCAATACCATTGTTTTAAGATATCACCATATGAAATCAAAAGAAATCACCAATTTAGTAGCAAAACAAAATACGAGGTTCTTACATAGAAGTCCCCACTACATCACTCCACCTAAAACACACACGAATAAAAGCAACATCCTAAGAGGCAGCAACAGAGTCATCGTCCGTCAGATCACTGTGCAGCAGGAGAACCAGGAGGAGGAGGAGGAGGAGGAGGGTAGGGGTAGCCGGTGCCAGAGCTCCAGTTTGACCATCTTCTTTTGCGAGAGGACGATAAGTCTCCCATTCTCTTTCTAAAAATATAGCAAAAGGGTCATTATAATCCGCCCGAAGATCCGTTGGTTCATCCCAAAATTGATTGATTGATATATTGAAAAGAACGAAGTGCAGTGGTCATCGTACTGAGTATCAAAATCCAGAGCAAGGTTCACAAACGTGAATCTTATCTTATACACGTCTTTTAACACCATATCATTCACCGAGTACATAATTCAACTACAGTATGATTCAGGTTAGTTTGCTTTACTCGGCCTATAGTAACTCAAAACTCAACCATACAACATCAATTGTCACAACAGAAATTGAAAAAAACAAGCGAGCCATCAAACATAACTAAAACTATACATGTAGCTAAAGCTTTAATCCAGTGATTCCTAATGCCTATTAGCATTTCCCATAGGACCATATACAAAATTCAAATTAACCCGACACAAACACAGCAACAGAGAGAGACAAACCTGCCACTCAAACATAAATAAAACTTTTATAAATGAAAAGTGTTTGGATAAGCCTCCACAAGGATAATTGTTGTCATTATTCGCACAAAATAATCAACAATTGTTATGGACTGCACCATTGTGCTCAACACACACATACACATACACCAACAGACCAGGGAGCAGCTTAATCATCTATTGCAGCAGTCAACATAGATTGCAAACGAAAACATAAACTAACAACCGAAGTAAATCATACAACAATGTTCATGACACAACCAATTAATCAAACTGCGAATTCAAATTCCATGTCTCTAACACCACTCAAACAAGAGAAGAGAAGCCCTAATTCAACGAGGAAAAAAAGAGAAAGAGAGAGGTCGCTTCAACCCTAATTACCTCTCATGGATTTGTGATTTTAAAACCCTAATTCGAGGGAGATCTGTTCGAGGAGAGGAGCAGATGACGGGCCACTCGTGACGAGGAAGGGGTTGCCGGTGGGGTCGCTCATGAAGGGGTTGCCGACGGGGTCACTCGTGAAGGGGTTGCTGACGGGATCGCTCGTGAAGGGGAAATAGATGACGGGCTGCCTCTCTCTCTCTCTCTCTCTCTCTCTCTCTCTCTCGTGACGGGCGAAGGTGATGAAGATGAAGAGATGAATGTGGATGAAGGTGACGGTCGCCTCTTCTGCTCTCTAGAGTTTTGAGTGTGGTGAAAAACAAAAGNATATATATATAGAAGTATGCTCAAATGTCATAGTGAAAGAAATAAAAATAAATGTAGACCTTTAGATCTAGGAAACTAATGGTTATGATAGAGTCAAAGTTAAAAATTAAAGTCAAATTCATTAAGGATAATTTAGTCATTTAATACTAATTAAGGGTATTATAGTCATTAATAACAAATCCTAATCACTAATGGTCCCACCACAATCACTACACCAAAATCACTCTCCCTCACACAATCATACCCTTCCACCCCCGCCACTCTGCCGCCTTCCTCACCTCCGACGAAGAGCTCCGCAGGTACATCGGCTCCACGGCCCTCGTCCTCGACTGCGCCGCCGCCAAGTACTACTGCTTCCCCTTCCCCCGAGAACGCCAAGCACAAGAAGGCCCACCTCTTCCGGTACGCCCCTCTCTCGGTCGATCTCCTTAGCCGCCGTCCAGAAAATTCAAACATATTTGCTGGTAATTGAGCCTGCATCGGATCTCATTTATGCTGCCACTTATCAGCCTAGGGCCGGCGAACGAGACCGGATTCTGGGGTTATGGTATGTCGGAGGTTCTGAAACGGCGGTTTTTGGAGTCGGAGGTGCTGAAATGGTGGTGTTCGGGGTCGGAGGTACTGAAATGGCGGTGTTCGAAATCTGAGATGGAGAAGATATGTCGAGATGCTCAATCTCCTAATTGAATCCGCCGTCATAATCATAGTAGAGGCATTTGATTTTACAGATTCGGCAAAAAAATAAAAATAAAAAAAAAATTGATGGGGAAGGATATGATTTCTTGTTTACAGATTTGAAATTATGGGGCATACATATGAGAATTTAACAAGTATAAAGGATCTAACTGCAATTTTAGGAATTTTATTAAATTTCAATTTAATCACTAGATCAAATCTATAATATATGATAAATATACTAAACAACAATGATAAAGAAAGTGAACAATATAACAAGATAAAGGCATATTGTAACTGAGATTTTAAAAGTAAAAATATAATCGAATTGCAATGTAAAATTTCAAAGCGAAAAGTTTAGTTCGGTCCATTTCGGTCGTTATTGTGCAATTTGATAGTCATTAATGTGCAATTCGTCTAACAATATTGTGCACTTGCAATACATAAAAAATACAACCACAAATAATGTAACGCCCCAAATCAGTAATAAGAACGGTTTCACTGCTAGACTATAAGTGAAATCCGTAATTTTTAGAATTTTCGAGTTATATTTTATATGCTAAATGCTCAATAAATTCTTTAAATTTGATAGATCATTCATGGGAATTTTCTATATTAAGTATAAGTCAAGATCAATCCATTAATTTGGGTTGATAAGTTATAGTTAATTGACTCGAGAGCATGGTGGTTCGTGGGAGCAATTGATACCCACTGTGGAGTTTGCCTATAATAACAGTTTCCACTCGTCGATCAAGATGGTGCCATTCGAAGCTTTATACGGTTGCAAGTGCCGCTCACCCACTGGTGGTTCGTGGGAGCAGTTGATACCCACTGTGGAGTTTGCCTATAATAACAATTTCCACTCGTCGATCAAGATGGCGCCATTCGAAGCTTTATACGGTTGCAAGTGCCGCTCACCCCTTTATTGGGATGAGGTCGAAGAGAAGCAGGTTCTCGGTCCCAAGCTGATTGAGGACACAGTGCAGAAGTTCGTCGAGATCCGAGCGAGATTGAGAGAGGCTCAGAGCCGACAGAAGGCCTACGCTAACAAGCGTAGAAGGGAGCTTGAGTTTGAGCAGGGAGACAAAGTATTCCTGAAGGTCACGCCGATGAAGGGTGTGTTCCGTTTCGGGAAGAGGGGGAAGTTGCAGCCCCGATTCATAGGGCCATTTTATATCTCGAGCGAGTTGGTGTAACAGCCTACCGTCTGGCGTTACCCCCAGAGCTCTCGGGTGTACACAACGTCTTCCCTGTGTCGATGTTGAGAAAGTACGTGTACGACCCGAGTCACATAGTGAACTTTGACGGGCTAGAGGTCGGGCAGAACCTGACGTATGATGAGCGGCCGGTAGCAGTTCAGGACTGAAAGGTCCGTCGACTGAGGAACAGAGATATAGAGCTCGTCAAAGTTTGCTGGAGTCGCCACGACAAGTCGAAAGCCACTTGGGAGAGAGAGGCCGAGATCAGAGCTCGTTATCCAGATTTCGAGTTTTAAGATTTTCAGTTGTACATATATGTACTTTTTATTTTATGTTTTGATGTATATAGTCTTGTAGTAGGAGGTTCTGGCCTAGTACCTTAGTTTTGTATTTCTGAGGACGGAAATATTTTAAGGAGGATAGGTTGTAATGCCCCAAATCAGTAATAAGAATAAGAACGGTTTCACTGCTCGAATATAAGTGAAATCCGTAATTTTTAGAATTTTCGAGTTATATTTTATATGCTAAATGCTCAATAAATTCCTAAGTTTGATGGATCATTCTTGGGAATTTTCTATATTAAGTATAAGTCAAGATCAATCCATTAATTTGGGTTGATAAGTTATAGTTAATTGACTCGAGATATTATCGGCTTTGAACCCTAGTTTGGTTCCGATTATTTTTCAAGTTAATTCTCGAGCATAGCCAAGTCTTGGTATTTCTATATACTTAGAATAATTTTCTAAGTCTTGGAATATCAAGAAGTTATGTCTCGGACATTTTATAATCTAACCCTAGCACCTACCGAGCCGTGCATATCGAGCCCGCGCCCGAGGTCCGTGAGCATGGCCATGCGCGCCCAACCGAGCCCCAATCCGTGTCAAGCCATGGCATAATCATAGTCAAGCATTTACATATTTTTCCTAAGTGTTATTGCATCATTTGAGCCTTGGAATCAAGCAATATTCCCAGCCCAAGCCAATCCATGCGAGCAACCCAGGCAGGCTGCGCCCAGGCCCTCTCGCGCCAGTCCAGCAGGCCGTGCCCAGCAGCCAGCGCCCAGGCCTAGCGGCAGCGCGACAAGACCCACTTCTTGAGCCCAAATGACTAAGTTTTGGCCCACTTTCATCCAAGACCCCTTAATGTGTGTATTATACACTTAATGAGGATTATTTAGAGCTAATATGGCCCTAACAAAGTATTAAGAAAGTCAGCCTAGCATGGGTGCATAGTGGAGCGATGGGCACATGATTATTTTAGTCATTTATGTAAGTGTTTGTCCCCTTGTCTTGGACCAGCGACCAGAGCACTATCTCACACTTATTCCCTACCCATTATGCTCTGAAAATGTACCAGAAGTCCACCCAAGGTCGTGCCCATCTCTTCCCCAAGTCCCCATGCATGTGTAGTGGTGAAATCCCACTTAAGTCTTGTCCCCCATGAGCCTTCATAGTAAAATCCTCCTAAACCTCTTCATAAACAGCCCTCTTCAGTCCGTTTGAGACTCTTAACATTTTGAGACTTGAGAGCTCGAGCACTTTGAGAGAAAAACAATTTAACATTCGAAAGTAACTCACCTAGGCCCTTGCGCGCGCGAGCTACACCGAGGAGAAGGAAGAGCGAGGTCCAGCCCTTTTCAGCAAGAATATCTCGAGGCTTAGCAGCATCTAAGTATTCCTTAGATTTTTCTAAGCCTTTGGAGTTCATAAGGCTCGGTCAAATCCCATTCCAAAGCAAGCCAAACCCCCTACGTCGCACATACCCACCATTTGAGCCCTAACACTCATTCTCCATTTCCAGCCGAGGTAATCTTGTGCCTCTTGAGTTATTTAGTTTTATGATATAATATGATTTATCATGAAGTAAACCGAGCCATGCATGTGTTTAAAGGCATGTTTCGAATTTAATGATTTAATGGCCTTAAAAATGATATTTTAGTAGCAAGCATGTTAAACTCGAGATTGTTAGTTAAATCACCCTT